CTATCTATCTATCTATCTATCTATCTATCTATCTATCTATCTATCTATCTATCTATCCGTCCATCTATCTATCCGTCCATCTATCTATCTATCTATCTATCTATCCGTCCATCTATCTATCTATCTATCTATCCGTCCATCTATCTATCCGTCCATCTATCTATCTATCTATCTATCTGTCTGTCTGTCTGTCTATCTGTCTAAAGAGTTAAAATACAGACTTCATGAAGAATCTGTAATTTTTATATTTATAAAGTAAACTGCAATCCGATTAATATGAAAAAGTTACTCAGAAGTAGAATGTGTTTTTAATCACAAGATCATGGATTATGCCATAGCCACAATTATTATTATATATATAGCACTGTAATTGGAAATTATACAAAACTAGCATTTAAAGCAGGCATCTCTGGATATTCGCTTAAGCAAATTAAGCACTATCAAAGAAAAAAATGTTATTAATGAAAAAGAATACATGTTTGCTCTGTTCCCAAATAACAGTCTGTTCTATTTCATTCCCATATGCATGATGGTCCGGTATGGTCCTGGGCCTCCCCAAAGTCCCCTTAATTTGAGGAAGAAAAACAAAATAGGAAGAGAAAAAAATGAATATCTGGCTTGTAATCAGAAGGGTAAGTTCTGATCAGTACACGATCAGGACTCACTTGAGAAGTCCATGCCAATACAAATGAGGCATGACATCAGCTTTCATGTGGTACATGACCCTGCTCTCTTTGCTCTGGTCCACAGGGAAGGTCTCCAGCGGCTGCCCATCATAATCAAATTCTGCCAAGATCACTGTGTTGTAGCTTGTAACCAGTGGGCAGGAGGTGTAGCCATCATACTGCAACATACACAAAACAATTACTATTTAATATTAGTAATGAGCATTCAAGTAACATTTTGCTTATTTTGAATTATTCTTTTTATGATTTATTATTTTATCATTTATATATGATCAACTATGTATTTTCATTATATAGTATATCTGTAATTTAATTTACGAATGTATGTATTATTTATGTGCATACGAATGTACTTGCTACTTTTTTTGTGTAGTTATATAAAGAAAATGGCTATTTTTGGACCATACTTACCATACTCCCTGTACTATTTCTGGTATAGGCATGCATAATATGCGTACTATTTAATATTTTCACATTTGTCACATTTGCCAAACTGTTCAGTATACAACGCACTGAGTTCCCTGTGTGGAAATACTATCCCACAATGCACTGGACTTAATTTTTTCCTGTACAGTGTGGCAAATGAACCAGAATGTCAGCCACAATTTTTTGCAATCTCCATCTTGACTAATCATTTGCCTAAACTGACTATTTTAAGCCATTTTAGACAAAAATGTGTTTAAAAAATCTCAATAATCTTTTCATTTTTTATTTAAATTGTTTTTCAAAATAACTTTATAATAGAACTGAATGCAGCACACTAAGTTTAAATTTTTTTTTGTGTGTGCTTTTTTCTCCTTAATTTAATAGGATAGTAGAGGGCAGACAGGAAAGGAGGTTTTAGAGAGGAACTGTATGATAGTATTCCATTCCTTTATCAAAGCATTAAAGCAACGCACACCTTATGAAGGTGCAAGTTAGGGAAAAAGATTTTGTGAAGAAAAATATCATTCCAAAAAATATCACTTGCTCATTTCATTCTACGCCCCCTGGTGGGTGTAGAATGAAATGAGCAAGTGATATTTGGAGGAGAAAATAGCATAGCACTTCTACAGTGGTAAACCACATTAATGTTTATCCTTAAACATACTTACTGTCTTATCCGGTGTCTGTTTCTTCAGAATTCTACTGACAGTTCGGTCGAGTACTGCAGACTGCGCAGCTGTAGAAGATTATATAGTCACAGATGATTTTCCTAGTCATCTCATTTCAGTAAAAAAGGCACTAACAGCTCTCTCACAGGAAAATCAGCTTGGTGAATGGGAAAGTAACTACTAATTAATGGTGGAAAATGACTAAAGCAGATTCTAGACCTGTCTAATGAGTACTGATAATTAGGAAGGAAAGGTTTAATGAGCAGGGACTTATCTCATTCTCCCTTCCCAGAAAAACCCACAACCATTTTGGATTTTAAAAAAAGGGTTTTTTTTTCTCAGTGTTTTACCTACTGCTGCTGCCGTTTTGGATGTGGGTAGATTGGTGCAGTCTCCGATACCAAATACATTGGCGTAAGTCTTATGCTGAAGGGTGCTCTTATTTACATTCAGCCAGCCGGCCTCATCCTCCAGCGAGGAGCCTTTCAGCACTGCAGGAGGTCCCATCGGAGGGGTGACGTGGATCATCTCATACTATCACCAAAATGAAGGGCACGTAAGACACTCAAACTACAGCTAACAGAACGAAAGATGCTTTTTGTCGAATTTAACAATGGCTACCTTGTAAACCTCTGTCTCCCCAGGTTTGTCCAGATTCTCAAAAACAGCTTCCTGTTTGTCGGCCCTGACCTCGATGAGGTTGTGCCTCAGGTTTACGTTAAGGTCCCGCTTCTTCACAATCTCCCACAAGGCATCGGCATATTTCTTGACCCCAAACAGCACTGGCAAGGAGGTGTTATAAATAATGTTGGCTTTGGACCTTTTTCCTGTCTAAAAAAACAAAAAAAATAACATTGTCTAAAAAATATTGTCATTTCTTTGAGTATTACCGAGTTGTAAATGTACTGTACCATGTTAATCCTTTAGTACTGAATGATTACCATGTTGATTTACCATGGTATTTACATGGCACTCTGAGCTACTTCGAATAATATCATGGTATTATCATGGTACACAAACAAAAACATGGTTTTACCATGATATAAGCCCAATAAACGTGCAATTACCCTTGTTCATGTCAACACAACATGGTATTGCCATGATACATGTCCAAAATACATGGTGTTACCATGATACATGGACAAAAAACATGGTATTACCCTTGTTTCTGTCCACAAAGTATGGTATTATCATGGTACATGTGCAAAATACATGGCGTTACTGTGATATATGGTCAAAAACATAGTATTACCCTTTTTAATGCCCTAAAAGCAAGGTAGTACCCTTGCTTCTGTCCACAAAATATGGTATTACAATGGCACATATCCAAAATAAATGTTGTTACCATGATGCATGGCCAAAAAACATGGTCTTACCCTTGTTTGTGTCCACAAACATGGTATATATCCAAAATACATGGTTTTACTATGATATATGCTCAAAAACAAGGTTATATCATGACATTTGCCCAAAAATCATGGTATTACCATCATACATGTCCAAAAAATTTACTAATAACATTATATTTTTGTAAGTGTATAAATAAAAGGTGATTATTTATGTACGTAATCCATCATGTTTATATGTAAATTCATGATTGTAACTATGGTTTGGGGATTTCACCTTTCTCAGGAAGGCATCAGAGAGGTACATGATTTTCTGAGGAGCTCCTGCACATTTGATGGGAGTGTTTGGGAAGGTGAACAAAGCATTGCCCTCCTTAAAGTTCTTCAAGGCATTCCATGTCTTTTCCACTGTTTTCACGGAGTAGTTTGAACCGATTTTGGGATGTTCAAACCCTTCAGGCAGGCCCTTGATCTAAAATTAGCAGAAGGAAATCAATTGGATTGACAACTCTGAGAAGAAAAACCCATCAAACATCACACTTGAAATTGTTAACTCCGGATCATTTTTAACTTTGGTTTTATTAATTCAGAGTTATGTTGTTCCACGTTTCACTCTGTGAAAACAGGTACAGTTTCATATTTCTTTGCATATATAGTGTCATGTCAGGTATGACCATAAAATCCAAACACAGAACAAAGTTTGAGATTTTATTTATCTTGAACTTTGGTATCAAGTCTGATAGACATGTAATCGGACACTTCCTCTGGACTGATGTGGCAATAACACCACACCCATACTGTGTTAATAATAAATCTGCAAAAGCCAAGAATGCTTCCTCTTAATCAAAACATTCACTACATACAGTTAAGAATTCTCATCATGCATATGAAAGTGAAAAACTAGCAATTTAGTCTATTAATGCCACTCATAACATACCTTTTCATAGTGCAGCTCAAGGCCAAGAGCTACAATCAGATAATCATAGGAAATCTGAGAGAAGAAAAAAAACAAGTAAAAAGGTTACATGCTAAAAAAAAAACTAAAGCTGGGTTGAGTTTGATTTAAGTGAGCGTTCCAGATCATATGGCAATTTAACAATAATAACATGATATTCTTTCCAGTTTCGCAACATGTTCATGTTACTTCATATCACGCTTCATATCAGCTATGATTACTTTATAATGACACACCTTCATGGTTCAATATAATGTGCAATTGCATATTACGCAACATTACTGACACCACAAAATTTCCCAGCTATTTCAAAGCACTTTTCAAAAGACTCTTTTCTATTCTAACACATGACACTCTGAGACACATTAATAGCTAAATATCAACCTAAATACCTTTTTCCCAGAGTCTGTGTGGACAGTGTTGTTCTCAGGATCGAATTCTGCCACTTTGGACGTGACCCACGTCACCCCTGATGGAATCACACTCGCTGTTGGTCGCCCAGAGGATGCAACACTTTTGGACCCTGCGCCAACTAATGTCCATATCGGCTGATAGTAATGCACCTGGAGTCAAAAGTGCATTAGATGTAATGTTGAACATTAAAAGGTTTTTTAAAAAATGAGTCGGTAAGATTTTTTTATATTTATGAAATACGTCTCTCATGCTCACCAAGGCTGCATTTATTTGATATAAAATACAGTAAAATCAGTAATATTGTGAGATGTTATTTCAATTAGAAAGAACTGTTTTCTATTTTAATACATTTTAAAATGTCATTTATTTCTGTGATGCAAAGCTGAATTTTTAGCAGCTATTACTCCAGTCTACAGTGTTACATGATCCTTACAGACCCCAAAACATTTGAATGGTAGTGTACATGTCCATACAGTGAACACTAAGCAGGAACTTGTTAAACCTGAATCCCGGCATGTGACGTACGTGATGCCTCAAGAACAGCCAGGCACAATAGGGGTCTCGTAAAGGGGCAGTTCAGCTATAAATGCTCTGCTGCAGCATACCTCACTAGGCTCCACGATGGCCACGTTTTTCGCGCCGACCTTTCTTTTCATGCGTGCGGCCATCGCTATGCCACCGCTCCCACCACCGAGCACGAGAACTTTGTAGTGGTCCTTAGAGGCCAGCCCAGAACTGGTGTGAATATGTGAGTTAATGACAGAGAAAACTCTGCAGTACTGCCTGGACAGCAGCAGCTGTGGGTGTAGTTGGCCTGCCATGGTGGCCTGCCAAGAGAAATATGCAAACAAGTTATAACCAAAAATAATCTTTGCAATGACCACAGTGCATAATAAAGAATGGATATAGATACAATTATGTTAAAAATATATATTTTTAGATTATTACATTTTACACTTTCTGCCATGGAATAAAAAAAAAAAAAGTTAATAGCGACTTATCTAATAATCCTGACTTTTTCTGGCAATGCAGAGAATAAAGTCAGAATTGTGAGATATAAACTCAGAATTCAGACTTTTCGCAATTCTGAGTTTGTATCTCGCAATTCTGAGATACATTCAGAATTGTGAAAAAAAGTCAAAATTGTGAGAAATAAACTCAATTGCAAAAAAAAAAATAAAAAATGTAAAAAAAAGTGTGAATTGTGAAATAAAAAGTTCCAATTACCTTTATTTTTATCCCATGGTTGAAACAAGCTTGCATAGTTATGACTGGCAGACTAGACCAGACTTTGACTAAGTTGGTTAACCAAGGTTGCTGAGTTTTCTCTTTAAAAAAATAGTAATTTTTCACACCAACGGCAAAACAAGCACAGATGAACAAACTGCTGTGCGAAAGAATTGTATTAAATAAAAAATAAAAATATTAATCAGGATGAACTCTAGTATAATTAAAAAAAAAAAAACAATTGAGCACATTTATCATATGAAGACCTGTACATGACATGTAGACAGATATAAAAACAGACATTGTAACCACAAATTAAGAGTCATTTAATACAATGTATTAATTTGTGGCCATGGATATATACATAAATATGTACCTCTGTACATATAAAATGATTAAGGTCTTAAAACTTTAGCAAGGTTGTGATGACAGGTTCTCAAAAGCCCTTTTTTGTTGTTCCCAAAATCATCTCAAGACAATTGTGTAATCTAGTCTACTTGAAATATAATAAAATTGCAAATGTACTTTAATCTGAAAAAATGTAAGGAATGAAAATAATAGGCAGCAGCGTTTAGAAATCTTAGGTTTGCATGTATCTACTCGCCTTTTTCTTTTCAGAACTGTCCTCTGTGTGTTGAAAGAGAGTCCTCACGTCTGTTTGATCAAACACGGTGGTACACAGACAAAAACATACTTCCTATCATTTCTACACAACACACCTGACAGTTCAACTAAAGCCGAGTCATGATACCTGGCATTTTGTGTGGATGTGGCTCAAAACCTATTGAGCTGCCTACCTAGGCAACATTTTGGGCATCATTGTGTCTCACAGTCTACTAGATAGCATTTGTTTCGTCTCAAAACCTGGTGAACAGCCTCCCTAGGCATTTTGGACATCATTTTGTCTATAATTTAGCAAGAGCTTGTAACACTCTAAAGAGAAAGGAAAAAATGAAATCGCATCATATGACCCCTTTAATAATTTAGTGAGCAGCCTATCAATACAGGCAGGCAAATGCCCCAAAATGCTGTCTAGCTAGCTAGTTGTAAAGAAGGTCATTGCATGACAATAGACACCCTTCTTGATTTATATCTCCAACAATAACATATAAGCATGGAAATGCAGCTGACTACATAAAACGTTTGACGTCTGCGATCATTATTTTTACATTTCTAGTTTGCTGTATACAGTAGACTACATGCGTGGTCAAATTGCAAATAGAAAGCTGCGTGTAATATGCACCATATAACAATGAATCATTTCCCTCCCTAAGCACGATATAACAGCAAATCCTTATTTCTGACACATATCACACATTGAATTGGAGTGAAACAAGGTCTTACCAGAGTCAAAGCGACAGAGCTGTAACTGTCGCCACTGCCCGTGTTACAGTAGAGCTGCGGTTTGTTTTCCTGGTTCAGCTCGGTTTGACGTACGAACTTTATTATTCGGCCGTCAGTGATGCAATTTCATAAATCTCTATTTATTCTAATTATGATTTCATAGCCCTCCACGCATGTTTTTAGAGTAGCTAGTACATACACAGGCCTACGTAAGAACTTTGCACGCACGTACAACACAAGCAAACATAAGTTCATTTCATGCCGCCGTAATCGTCCAGAAGGTGTCGCCATTGCATTTCCCTCAAAGCTGCTGCATTATTATCAAATATTACATGAATTATTACAGCACTCATTATAGCCAGCTGAACACAAATAAAACAACATAATCTCAATTAAACATACTAATTAATTTAATCTCAGATAGATTAAGTTATCTGTTGTTATAATTGTAATAAATCTACACAGTTCTAATTTTACACAAAACCAAAAAAGTAATGCATCACACGTATTCTACTTTATTTAAATACTCGGAGTTACGTTGGTTTGAATATTATAGCGTTTAACGATACCATTAATGCTATATACAGCAAAATGTTATTTACAGAACATTTAATATATTTATATGGCTATTAATAATTTAATAATATTATATAATTTATCATATAATATAGCCTATATTTCTTTACGGCTTCTTGTTTCGCGCTGTAACCTTCCTCAAAAACGGCCGTTTGTGCGCGTGTATGCGTGCGCGACAGAGCTCGAGCTCGAGCGCGAGTGAACCGGAGGGAGATTTAGGCAACTGTCTGGTGTTTTCTCGTCTTCATTTCTTATGGTCGTGTTACTCCACCCTGTCTCCGTAGCAGAGCCATAAATGAATGGATGGAGCATGTTTTCGGTAAGCGTTTGTTGTTTATGATGGATCGCTGTACTGATAGAGCGCAGTTATGAGCCATTATGACTGTTTGTCGGTGGGATGGTATAGTCTCATTATTGCATTCTGTAGCAAATCTTATATATAAGATGTCCATTTATTGTAATCATCGATCTTATTTTACATCCACTGTATGTGCCACTTAAGGCTGACTAATTGACTACAGGCTTTCCGTTATTGGGCTGTAAGGTACAACTGAGGTTACAGTTGAGATTTTTCAGTCTGACAAATTTGTCTATTTGGACATTAAATAATTTTTAATAGATAGTGTATTCTCATGGTTTATTGCAATTAAAAATATTATAAATATAATCACTACAATTGATTAAACATTGCAAATAAATATAAAATGTAAATATAATATTAAAATATATTTAACATTTAATATTGATTTTAATTTTATTTATATATCTATTTTAATATGCATATGTAACTTACTATATAATAATAATTGATGTTGTTGTTTTAAATATATTTATTATATGTTCATATAACAATACATTTGGGTAAACATTTTATTTATTGTGTTTTAAAATATGTTGGTAATCCATAAGTACATAACAACAACAGTAATAATGCTAATTATTATTAATACATTTATATAACAATAAATTTAGGTCAACATTTATATATTTTATTTAAATAATAATGGATCTAGTGTAATTAGTTTTTTGGCTGTGCATAATTATATAACAACAATAATAAAAAAAAATTGTTATTATTATTTAAATTGTAATTATTGTGTATACTTATATAACAATACATGTAGGTAAAATTATTAATAAAATATATTTAATATATATATATATATATTTTTTTTTTTATTAAATTAAAAATTATATATAATAAATAAATAATTATTAATTAAATATTTTTTATAATATTTGTTCCTTTAGCATGTGTTATGTATGGATCCATATTTGTTAGCCTATAATTTTGGCAAATCTCAATTTAATTCCATAGTATTTTCTAATATTGTATTCTATACTTTCATTCCCTTGCAGGTTTATTGATAGAGTATATGACTGTCAATATATGAGAGTCTATAATCACTTTTATTTTGGTCTGTAGAGTTCTGCAGTCAGTAGTAACTGAATACATATAATCTGGATTATGTAATCTGATTCCAAAAATTAAGTATTTGTAATTAGATTAAATTACGTCAAAATACTCGTAATCAGACTACATTTACTTTTTTATTGATTACATATTACATATTATTCACACAATAAATAATCCATAATTTATTGCTTCTCCCTAATTCCTCTTTTTCATCTTTTAAGTGCTTATATACACTCAGAAAATCTTCCAGTTCTGTGGACATTCACACAGTCAGAGACCAGTCATTAGTCAGGTGGCTACACAGCATTTGACCACTGGATTTACAAAAATCATTTCAGGTTTAAGAAGTGTTTCAACACTGCATCAACTACTGATGTACACATTCAATATTATTTGAATGATCACTTATGTCTTTGGAAGGCTTTTGCCTTTCAAACACATTAAAATTCACAAATTCACATTATTTCTTTTTCGTCATCTGAACCTCTTTCATCTAGGCTAATATATTTACTCCTGAGATTTTAAAATAAATATTTTAATAATTTAGTATGACATTTGCATGTTCACGGTTCTCTGACGTTGGTTAATAGTCACATGACATGTAGGTAAACAAATAAAATAGACATTTTTTTAGTAAGTGTTTTATTTTGATTGATGTTATTTTAAAATGATTTATTTTAATTTTACATTTTTATAATTTAAATAATTATTAACTTATCATTAAACTCACGAACCCCAGTTTGGGAATCCTTGACATAATGCATTGTTTAATGTTAATTACAACAAATGGAATATATTTTCTTACTGTTTGTATTTTTATATCAATACAGTACAAGATTATCTGTCAAAAGTAATCTAAAAGTAATCTAAAAGTAGTCTGATTAGATTACTGTACCTAAAATGTGAATACCTAAAATGAAAATACCTAATATACCTATAATATATATTTGTGATATTAAAAAAGAAAGCCATCCAAAGTGTGTGCTGGGGTCTTCCAAGTCACGTTTATTTTCAACAAACCTTCCCACACACTAAAACGGGGAAGCTTACAGCCCTTTCACTGCTACATTCAGAATAATGTGCCACCTAGAGATGCCTTCTCTGTATTCGCCACAAATGGTTTTGTCATGCAAAGCCAGCATATGGCAGGACACTGCAGCGGGGTCACCTGTGTTTACTGCAGTCTTCCCCGCGGAGCGAGTGTGTTCCCAGAGACCTGACGGGTTTCCTGGCTGCAGCTCCGCTGGGGTCTCATTAGGATGGTGTGGGGGAAGAGACAAGGTGTGCGTCAGACGTTAAAAACAGCGAGAACCGCATGTTACTTTAAAAGACAATTACACTGTAGTGTGTGACTCTAGCTGATCAGCTGATATGCTTCCCAGTGCAAGTAAACAAGCCTTTATGAATTACATTATGGCTTTACAGGAAAGTGTTTTGTTGGGATGTCACTGTTTATCTGCCTCTTTGTAAAAAATCACTATCAATCTTCCATTCAGCTAAATTAAATCTAGTCGTTTCTATGAGGAAGATTACATGGTGTTCAGTGGAAACGTAGTTGACTCACACTTGTTTTCCTGGCATGTTTTTCAGAGAAACCCTCAGGACCCGTCGGAGATGGCCTGATGTTATGGCAATTTGGAAGAAGGACGTTCGCATTGGTTAGTACAGTTGCTGAACAAAATCAAAGGGAATGGACAAATGTCTAAAAACATTGATGTTTAAAAATGTTGGTGTATTCATGTCATCCCAAATGTCTTTAAAGGGGTCATGAACTGGCTTTTTAAAAATTATTTTATTCTGTTGTCTGAGGTCCACTTATGACGTTCACGTGGTTTTTACATTCAGAAAGATCAAAATCAATAAGTAATAGGCTATTTTCTACCTTGGTTTTGAGGCCGGCTCGAGAAACGCTGGTTTTTATGGGCGTGCCGCATTGAAGACTTGGAAGTAAACGCCCACTGCTATGATTGGATA